AGTTTCCAAATTCATTTTAGAATTATGAGCTGTCCAGTCACGTTTATACTTCTTTAATGCCATCCCTGTTTCCCAGACTCTAAAATGGAGTAATTTGGCCTGCTATGCTTAGATAAACACCTGGAAGCTCTCCTGGGAAAGATCCCAACTCTAGACATACTTGAAAAAAAAATCCTCACATGTGTTTCTTATTATAAGAAACTATTACTCTGCAGACAAAATTCCCATGTCTTCAATGAATTGCCAATTATGTCATGTGATGTGATGAAGCACTTAAGACTAACATATAAGTAATTGTATCCAAAAAGTAGGGTAATAAAATGGAAGACAAAGAAGAAAAATGATTTTATTCAAACTGCCAGAAGACTATTTTTTGAATCCAGGTTTTAGATTATGGGAAAAGGAGATAGAATTTGCAACGATGTACCAAATAAACTGTATTGTTATATTTTATAATCTTGGCAACACTACTTATAAGAAATCTTATTATACCACTTCAGGTTTAAGGCAGCAATCTTTGCGTAGCTATATATCCATTTAGCTGCGATTGTTTTCTAAAAATTGAAATTGACATATAACTTCTTAATCTTATTCTTTTTATTATTATTAGCATATAAGAGGAAACCATTTATAACACTGCTAATATCTAGAAAAAGGTATAATGTGCAAATCAGAAATAAGAACTTTATGAAAATACAGTGTGATCAAGAAGGGACTCAAGGGGTATCAGTCAATTCCATTTAGAGTAACACAGGTGTGAACCATAAGTAGGTAGCAGCTCCTTATAAGGTATCTACTAAAACTCCTTTTAGGAGGGGAGGGGAGGGGTTTTCGGGATGAATGTAGACAATTTTCCACAGACCCTTGTTATGGTTACACATCGTTAGAAAAGAGATGTATTTATACCAACATGTTCAAGTTCATTAAGGAATTTGGGACCATTACAAAGCAAATTTTAACCTAAAATATAAAATGAATCAAAGATAATTTTGCATTTCTCACTGAGAACTGTCAAGGATAATGATTTGTCTTTAACTTAATTGCCCCTATTAATTAGTCCTCTGGATGGCTTCTAGTGAAAATAGGCCCAAAAGAACAGCCCCTCCTAATGTAACAACCTTGGCGGAGATGACCCATTCAGGCACAGTCCTTCTTTGATAGAAGAATGATCTGGCCCTGGTAAAAGAACAAGACTATTGTAGTTTGCACATCCTTTCTTTTCAGATAATTCTCTGATGTCAAAACCAAAATTCTCTATCTTTGCCTGACTGGGTCTTGGCAAGGATACAGTGAAATCGATTAATGGAGCAGGTAGCATCACTAACAGGACATCCGTTTCAATAATACCCATCCTGAGAACAAAGGCGCTCGGTAGCCAAGGAGTGCACCCTTTCCTGGAATCAGGCGTGGCAGAAAGTAACAATTGGTGGAATTTTTCTTTCTTATAACTATGTTCAGTAAACACATCCTTCTTGTATTAATGAGTGTACCTGACACAAAGAGTGCTCTATTTGGCCCAAATCTTCAAGTAGACTTGGAACATATGAATTAAATAATTATGAAGTCCTTGTGTAACAGTTAGCAAACATCACCCCCTTCTTTAGATGAAACTGTGTGTATATAAGTCAAGAAACTATCTTCTGAAGAAATGAATTAGGTAGGAGCCAGAAAATGTTTAATGTGATGATAATTTTGCCTGGCTCCTAAAGTAGGTAATATGTATGTCTTTCGAGTCTGTGTCACACAGCCCTTGAAGTGACATAAAAAATAGTATTTTAATCAATTCTGCCATTTTTCTCTTTTTAAAGTTCACTGACTTCTTAATATAAATTTCATAAAAATTATTCTTGCCTTAATTTGCTTTATTATTTTTCCTAACTTTTGGTTACATTTTAAAATAACTTATTGTTGTTTTTTAACCAGTTGATATTAAAGCAATTTGAACTAAAATTTTATCTATAAATATAGCTTTACCTTTTACTATTAGGCTAAAATGATGATATTTAATATTTTCATTGACATGCAAACGTTGTCTGGTTGACTTAATTTCAGATTATTTAGAAAGCAATGTTGATCTGTTCTCTGACCCAGGAGAGCTTTAGGTAAATTTTACATTTAAATTTTTAAGAGTTTTAGTTGTACATTTGTTTGTTTTAATGAAATGTATCTGTTAATCACATTATGGTCAGAGTGTGTGGTCCTTATAATTTCCATTACTGAGGCTTTTTGGGTAACCTAGCATGTAATTGATTTTGTACATGTTTTATAGGAATTTTATTTTTATCTCAGGTGAATTTGAGACCAATTTCATAGGAATTTCAAAAAGAATGTATCTTTTCAATTCTTTGTATAAAAATCAAAGCTATGTATGTACACACACACACACACACATGTTTCAATTTTATTAATTACAGTTTGGAGTTCCTCTATTTTCTTTTCTTAGAGAAGTTTTTGTTTGTTATCCAGCACCCACTTTCCTTAATTGGGGTTGTAGAACCTTGTTTTTTTAATTGAGATATAATTAATATACAATAAAGTACTTGGACCTTAAGTACTCAGTTTGATGAATTTTGATAACTGTGTACACTCACATAACCATTATCCTGAATGGACTACAGAACACTTCCATGCCTCAGAAGCTCTTATGTCCCTTTCGAGTCAATCTTTCTTCCCATGACCACTGTCTGCCTTGAAACTTGACTTCACTTTGGAAAGAGCAATATTCTCCCTCTGTGTCTTACTAGATTTAGAAGCATATCACAGAAACACATGAATTACAGTGGCTCAGATAAAAAGAGATCATTTTGATTATTGCAATAAAAGAAGTCTGGAGGCATGCAGCCCAGAATTCAGCTTTCTTTTTTTTTTTTTTTTTGCCAATCAGTTTGAGCTTATGAGGTTAGCCTTGAACTGATGACCTTGCCTTTGCGAGTGCCATGACCTCCGGCGGGAGCCACTTTGGACCCCCAGAATTCAGCTTTCTATCAGGTCATGTTAACACTTACTCTCTACCTTCAAAATCATGTAGTTTCAAGATGGTCTCTGCAGCTAAAACCAACATATTCTAGAAAATAGAAAGAAAGAAGGGTAAAGGAGAAGGGCCGGGGTAAATAGATCACCTACCTGCTGACTCAGATAGCTTTAAAACAGTTTTTCTAGAAGGCTCACTCAAACGTTTCCACTTACAGCTGGTGGGCCATACCTGAAGCAGGAAGGCTGAACACCAAACTGGGAAGGAAGAGGTGATTCATGCAGCCGGAAGTGAGGCAACATAGCTGCCTAACAGCCAAGCTCCTCTGACAAAGAAAGTCCCTGCCCTTATAAAGGCTTACAACTCTAGAAATTACATGTGAAAGGGTCTTGGTCCATGGAGTAGGCCATGGGGTGGGGTTTGATCCTGTTTAAGTTAAAACAATGCCTTCCGGAACGATTCCTTTATACCATGCCTGTGATCTATAGGCCGGTGATTAAGGTGCTGCGGGGTCTGCCAGCCGTTACTTCTATTGAAATGCAATGTGGAAGTCAAGGGGGATGTGGTCTTAGATGCTTAGGTCTCCTTCCTCATACCCATCCCCAAGGAAAGCTGGGAAATGTCTGAGCTTCTTGTCTTTTAAGCAGGTCATATTGATTTACCTCCAGTGCCAGAGGGGTTTTAGAAAGAAGGTCAGAAGGGCTATTGAATAGGGTCCCAGTGTGTCCATCCTTCTGGTGAAGCTAGTTTTTTCCCCAGCTCCAAGTCTGGAACCTGTGACCTCTGCCCGCACCAATCAGTGTATTCCATTTTCCTGGCCGTAAAGATGAAACAGGAGAGTTCCCTCATGCCCCTTGCAAGACGTGTGACAGAAGTGTAGCAGCCATGGCTGAAACCCTTGAGGGAGGAGAAGCACACAAAGGCAAGTGCAGGAACCAGGGCAGGTGCTTTGGGCTCCAGCCCTGCGGTAGTGTCTAGGGGTGGGTGCCTGCAGCCCTGCTGTTACAATGCTCTTTTATTCTTGCTATTCACAGATGGCTTAAGTGTTAGCCAACTCAATGGACCCTCTGCCTTTTTGCAAGGGCAGAGGGCCAGTGTGATAGCTTTCTGTGTCCTGAGCTCTTCCCAGCATCCTGGAAGAATTGGGTCACACACATTGTACTTGAAGGACGAATGCAGAGTTTTATTGAGTGGTGGAGGTGGCTGTCAGTGGGATGGCTGGGGAGCTGAAAGGGGGGATGAAGTGGGAAGATAATCTTCCCTTGGAGTTTGTCCATCCAGCAGCTGAACTTCTCCAACTGCCCCCAGCTGAACTCCTCTTGGTGATCAGACGTTCTCTTCTCTTTTTCTCTGCTGCGTCGTTCCACTGGCTATCTGCTTGTCTCCTCATCTCCTTGCCTGCTCCTCTGCTTCTGGAGCCTGGGATTCAGGGTTTATATGGGTATAGGATAGGGAGCATGGCAGGCCAAAACGACAACTTTTTGGGTGTGAAAATAGGAATTCCTGTCCCCATTTAGGGCCAAGGGTCTCCAGGCTTGAGTGTGGGGCCTTTGCTGGGGAACCATCCTCTTCTACTCAGTATTTTCATGTCTCCTGTCCACATCACTATGGGAATATGTTTATCAGGGAAGCCTCCCCTTTCTCACAAAATCTGGAATTGTGTTGTACAGGATAGCTTGGCTATCTTAAGACCCTGCAGTAAGAGGCTGTCTTTAAATTGAGTGAATGTATGGCAGAGGGCAGCCAAGAGAGTGAGGAACTGTGTTTTTGCTCATTGTCTCTGCCCCTGACCTGAGGCTAGCACTAAGGTTTTCACTGTGTGAATGAAGAAATCCCTTTCATCTTAAACTACTTTTGGTTGCATTTGCTTTCACTTGAAGAAGAGTCAGAGGTGAGATAGTCACCAATGTTTTATGTATTTGATAGAAAGCCTAATATATGTGTTGCATTTTCTCCAGATAATTGTAATCTTTGCTTTTAAAAATTCTGTTAAATATATTTTTTATCTATGCTATGTGGTTCTTAAAAATTTATTGTTTTGTTATATTTACTCTACACTGTATTTTTTTTAAAACAGGAACACATCTTTTTGTCCTGTTGACCTATTTTCACCTCCATTGCTCCTCTGTTCCTGATATCCATCTTCCAGCTTCCTTTGAATTTTCCTGGTATCTTTGCTTCCCCTTATTTGACCTTCTCTATTTTATTTACCCCCATATCTCTGAGGTCTAGCATAATGCAGGAGGGGTGCTTACTAAGTATTTTTGGGATAATTACACAGGCTTTGTTTTGAAAGACAAACCAAGAGATAGAATAATTAGATATCATTTTCTTCAGTAGATTTTTGGTTGTTTTTTTGTTGTTGCTGTTGTTACCTTTTTTTTTCTCTTTTCTTCATAGAACTTTACATTTCTGCTTTTCTGTTTCGTCTCATTATTTGGAAGTCGTGAATGCTACATTTTTGGTCTTAATTTAAATTTTTTAAAGGATCATATTTTACTTCTTTGTTTCTCACAATACCATTATCTGACTGTAAGCTGACAGATTTATCAACTGGTTCTTATGGTATTGAGAAACTACTGGGAAAATTTTACAGTCTAATAACACTTAACCTGAGCCAGAATTTTTTTTTTTTTTTTTAGCATTGTAGTATTTCACGTATTTCTTAAGCAATTATTATTAATTTGGTTATATTTTTTGACATTTAAAACTGAGGGGTTAATCTGTTTGGATCTGCCAAACTTAACCTGCCTTGCTTGATTTTGGTTGCCTGCTCTTTGTTACTTTTTGTGTGTGTGTCACCCATAAAGCCACCAGCTATGCTGCTGAACACTGGAACTTAGCCTTCACTAGCTTCCTTGTAGAAAGCACCTTTACTGTATATGTCACCATCATAACAACTGCTTAAGTTGTTTTTCAGGAACTTGGAGCAGCTCTTGTCCAACTCAAAGCAGTTGAGACCACTGACCGTTTAACTGGGCCTATGCAAATATCTGAGAGGTAGCCTTTTGATGTCAGAGGGTCAAAACCTCTACCCTCAGATTGTGCTAACACTATCGTTTTCAAAACATGTGTCCTATGAACTGCCATGAACCCCAACTATGCTTGCACAGATCACCAATTACTTCATTTTTGTTGCCAGTCACCTTTCCCAAGCCTTAGGCCATGCCATTTCTCTAACCTATAGACACCCTAAGCCTTATCTTTGGTAACGTAGATTTGAGAGCTGTTCTCCTGCCTCCTTGAGGGGCCGCCCTGTGAATAAATCTTTTCACTTTTGCACAACCTATCAAGACAATGATTGGTTTACTGTGTGGACAGATCAAATATGGTGGGTAGCACATTCTTTGCTGGACTTTAGGATAGTGTGATGCTTAACTAGTGAGTATCTGTATAGATTTGAGTGCCTCTAAAAAGTTAAAATTTAGTTATAAAACTAATTCCAGTTAAGAGATTAATAAGATTATTTTTTTAAGTAAGGTGAAAAATTAGATTCAAACATTGGGTCTCAGATGGAGGAAGGAAGTCTTTATTTTGGCCCACAGAGGTAGAGGTATAAGAAGATTTTAATGAAATCTCAAATATCTGTTTTTGTTAGTATTGTCTCTTTGGTTTGTAATGTCTCCAAGGCATCAAAAGATTTTTACTGTTTGGCAATACAGATCTACGCTTTTGCATTTTCCTCTTCCCTCATCTAAGCCTGGAAATCCTTTATCTTTATTACAGCCAGTTTTATACAGATACGGTATTTAGAGGGATTGTCACGTGTAATCTATACCTGGAGCAAATTCTAGGACACTTGTGTCAGTGATTGAAGATTTTTAAGAATACAAAGAAAGAAATGAATATAAAAACAAAGCATTGCACATGATCACAATTTTGTGCATAGTGTGCCCTGTATGCTTTGCCTGAATGTTCTTCTAATTGGAAATCATATTAGTTTTCTGCAAAGCCCAGAGTATGGCCTCAGGGTGACCAGTGCATTGCGTCCATTATGATATACTTCAGTTATTCCAGCCCGTCTATGAATCTGTTGGTTGCAGGAAATAACTAAATTCTTCCAGACTTCGGTACCAGAGTTCAATGAGAAGTGATAATACCAGCAGACTGTTCTTACTTTCCTTCTCTCTCTTTGCCTGGGGCTTAGGAGCTGTCAGCCTGAATAGTAGTTGTATTCCTGGGGTGCCTAAGAAGGATGATAATGGACCTCTTACAGATAATTCAAAAAATAAAAGAGATGTGATTTTATTTGTTCCCAGAGGTAGTAAAATGATTGATAGTCATTCTAAGTATATTGCAATTCCTGGAATTATTTTGTTTATCATTTATTTTGAAGAAATTTGAAAATATTTTACTAGATAACAAGTAAATACTTGCTCTCATCAAAAAATTAAATAATATAAAATAAATGGAGCTCTATGTCCTTATTTTCCTTCCCTCACAGTTTAGCAGAAACTTTGAGGAACCTCTTTTTCACTTAGTGGCTGTGTGATCTTGAACAAGTTACTCAGTCTCTGTGCTTCGTTTTCTAAATCCGCAAAATAGTGATAAAAATAGCCACTTCCCTATGGGGCCTTTGTAAGGATTGAAGGAGAGAATTCATATAAAGTACTGAGAACTGCCCTGGCTAATCATAAACTCCTAAGTGCCAATTTTTATCATTATCAATGTTCTTGTCATTTACTTATCTTACATTTTTCATAAATGGGATCATCTATATAAAATATTGTTATTTATTTGTGTTTCACGATAATTTTTTTCTAAAGATATTTTTATTTCTAAAGGTATTTGCTTTTATTTCTAAAGATATTAGTTTCTTTGTAACAGTTGGGTAGTAGTCCACAGTGTGTGTACATCGTGTGATCCAAAGTATACTTTTATTTGTAGAGACTTTGATGGCTTCCAGGTTTCTGATGTTACAATTAATGCTGCAGTTATCATCTTTGTATATATATTCTTTATTTATTTATATATTTTTTAAGACGAGGTTTCACCATGTTGGTCAGGCTGGTCTTGAACTCCCGACCTCAGGTGATCCACCTGCCTTGGCCTCCAAAGTGCTTGGATTACAGGCGTGAGCCACCACGCCCGGCCTTGTACATATATTCCCACGTACTTACTTGTGCGAATACTTCATATTTCTAGATGTAGAACTGCCAGGTCAAAGGATATAAGCATTTTCAATTTTCATAGGTATTGCTAAATTTCCTTCCCCAAAGGTTATATCTACTTGTACTCAGCCAACCAGCTATGAATAACAATTCCTTTTCTTTTGCTTCATCATTGTTTAAATTTTCCTTTTCCTCAACATCACTGATCATTAGAGAAATGCAAACCAAAACCACAATGAGGTACCATCTCACACCAATCAGAATGGCAGTTATTAAAAAGTGAAGAAGCAACCGATGCTGGCGAGGCCATAGAGAAATAGGAATGCTTTTACACTGTTGGTGGGAATGTAACGTTCAACCATTGTGGAAGAGAGTATGGCAATTCCTCAAAGATCTAGGAACAGAAATATCATTTGACCCAGCGATCCTATTACTGCATATATACCCAAAGGAATATAAACCATTCTATTATAAAGATACATGCATGTGTATGTTTATTGCAGCACTGTTCACAATAGCAACGGCACGGAACTAACCCAAATGCCCATCAATGATAGACTGGATAAAGAAAATGTGTACATATACACGATGAAATACTATACAGCCATAAAAAGGAATGAGATCATGTCCTTTGCAAGGACATAGATAGAGCTGGAAGTCATTATCCTCAGCAAACTAACACAGGAACAGAAAACCGAATACTCCATGTTCTCACTTGTAAGTGGGAGCTGAACAATGAGAGCACATGGACACAGGGAGGGGAACAATACATACTGGGGCCTGTTGTGGGGGGCATAAGGATAAATAGTTAATGCATGTGGGGCTTCATGCCTAGGTGATGGGTTGATGGGTGCAGCAAACTGCCACTGTACGTGTTTACCTATGTGACAAAGCTGCATGTCCTGCATATGTATCCCAGAACTTAAAATACAATAAAATTTTTAAAATCCCAATTGCAACCATTTGCAATAATAATCAAATGTCCTTTTCCTTTTTCCCTAGGGAAATTTCTCAGTCTTTCACTTTTTTTCTAACATCCCTAACAATTTTTTTTTTTTTTTTTTGAGATGGAGTTTTGCTGTTGTTACCCAGACTGGAGAGCAATGGCACGATCTCGGCTCCCCGCAACCTCTGCCTCCTTGGTTCAAGCAATTCTCCTGCCTCAGCCTCCTGAGTAGCTGGGACTACAGGCACGCGCCACCATGCCCAGCTAATTTTTGTATTTTTTAGTAGAGACGGGGTTTCACCTTGTTGACCAGGATGGATCTCTTGACCTTGTGATCCACTTGCCTTGGCCTCCCAAAGTGCTGGGATTATAGGCATGAGCCACCACGCCCAGCCTAACAATTTTTAAGCAATGAATGAAATGTAAGTCAAATCTATTTTTTAAACTAGAGTGGAACTATTATATTACTGTCATTCGGAAATTTTCCTAAATAAAATATGGACAATTGCTTTCACAACTTTGCAGGAGGTGGGGGAGGTGGCTGATGTTTGGTTTTTTACTGTTGTCTTGTTTGTGTCTTGAGAAGCTTGTGGTTATAAGCAGAAACATAGAATATATAACTTGGGTATGAAATATTGGAATTAAAATCAAAATTGTCTTAAGTTTTATTATTAGAAGCATAACCTATTAAGAGATGTTGGTCTCTTCAGTTCGGCAAGAAGCTTCATGCAGAAGTAGAACACAAGACAAGTGGACTACAACCGAGGCCTGGGTGAGCCAGCTGCCTTTTGTTCACCCAGGATTTACTGAGTTAATGTTCCATTATCTCACAGGGATGATCTCTACCAGCTTGGCCTCCTTCTTGGACCGTAGTCTTGGTGGACGAGACTTATGCACAGAACGCCAGTGATATCGCTGATGCGGAGGGTAGGAGAGTTAAGCTCAACACATGTGGCTCAAACTATAGTCACATATATAAAACAATTAAAAATAAAAAACTGGTGAGTTCCAAGACAAGATGATGGAATAAACCTAAATTAAGAAAACAACTCTCTTAACACTCAATAATAAAGCAAATGTAAATTCATTACAAATAGAATATTCACCAATATTCACCATTACAATTAGAAATCTCACTAAGCAGGGGAGAGAGAGAGAAAGATGGTCAATTTAAAGTCATGAATGTGCCAAAATGATAATCAAATAAAGGAATAAAAGACCCTTTTTTTTTTTTTTTTTTTTTTTTTGAGACGGAGTTTTGCTCTCGTTACCCAGGCTGGAGTGCAATGGCGCGATCTCGGCTCACCGCAAACTCCGCCTCCTGGGTTCAAGCAATTCTCCTGCCTCAGCCTCCCGAGTAGCTGGGACTACAGGCGCGCACCACCATGCCCAGCTAATTTTTGTATTTTTAGTAGAGACGGGGTCTCACCATGTTGACCAGGATGGTCTCGATCTCTTGACCTTGTGATCCACTTGCCTCGACCTCCCAAAGTGCTGGGATTATAGGTGTGAGCCACTGTACCCGGCCAAAGGGCCAAAGATCCTTGTTTTGAGTTGCAGTGCAGGGTATCTCCTAATCCCATCTTCATCCTTTGAACAATGGTTGGAGCCATTTTATTTAAAATCGAGTATTTCAATTTTAGATGCTGTTGATTGAGTCCCTGCAATGAAAGATGTGGTCAGTAGCATTCTCACAGGCTCGCCAATCTCCTGGTCTTCCTCTTTCTATTTTGTTACATCACTGATTTTATCCATCTAACTGTATACATAGAAAGACTCTGACATGCTGCCTTTTAAACAGTATATATTTTTTTCTAAAATAATACACTCAAGAAGATCCTATTTCTTGGGGATATTTTGAGGCTTTGTGGACAGTGTGGTTCACTTTCCCGTGATGCAAGTTTAATACGTCTAAGGATCTTTCTCCAACTCCTAATGCAAGGATTTTGACTTAAATGATTTCTTATGCTCCCTGACTTCAGATAAAGATCTTAAACAATTCCTGAAGGAGTTCTTTGCATTAGAATGCTATAAAGCTTAGGCAAGGATGACAGCACCCTTATTATAGATTGAACTATACACACCGTTTATTGGAAGAGTTAATTAGAGCATACATTTTCAACAGACTACAAATAACGTAAAATACAGTTCTGGTATGAACTCTCAACACATTGTCCCCAGGGAGTCAGTAAATTTCTGATCCAGATGTGGCTGAGAGCAATGTTTTTGTTCTGGCCCAGATTAAGTCCTGTCCTTCTGCAGTCCTTTTAATTTAACATTATTTCTGGAATGCCTTTTTTTGCCCTAAAATTCATTTTTCTATTGTCATTGAAATGGTCACTTCTGGCATTTCAAAAGAAACAAGTAAACGAAAACCGACTTAGCTTCTCTGCTGTCAGTAGTCCAAGATTTATCCTCATGAAGCCCAGTCTTCACAAACTGTTTCTTGTTTCTAGGTATCCCAGTTTTTAGCCAGGAACTTGAATGATTTCTGCAAACCCTAGGGTTTGCTCTCCGCACACATCAAGGTAAACGCTAGGTACCTATTTAACATAGATAGGCATCCTCTACCTGGGCCGTGTCTCTGCTCTGATCTGCATGCTCTTTAATTCCTATTTTCTCTCCCTCTGAGCTGGGTTCTGATGGCAGCAGGGATTTTATGTGGCTATAAAACCACTCTGTCTTTTGTGAGAAGACAACAGATTCTGCGTAGAGTTCAGTGTGAAAAGCGATGCTCTGTGTGGAAGTTACTTATTTTATGATACCACCCGTGCCTCTCTCTTCCAAGCATTTCCCTGGGTTTATTTAGCACATCATGGTTTCGCTTTGCCTTTTTCTGTGAACCTTTCCCCATCAGCACTCTCAACGTCTGCCTGAATGCTTACAGAACCTGAAACAAAGACAGTTTGGGGTTGATCACGTCGCCTTAGGCCAAAGATATTTTACAATGCTATTCTGTAGGGAATTTTTGGCCACAGTTTCAGATCATTATTTATAATCCCCAAATGATGGCCCCATCACTTTCTAATCTTACCGGATATACTGGACACTCAGATGCTAAATTCAGGTCAGAGTCTGTGTGGGAGAAGAAAAGGAAACTCAGATTTATTGAATTCTCATGTGCCAAGGCAGACTTATTTCTTTCATTTAATTTTCTTAACAAACAAGCAGGTATTATTCTCATTCTTCTAGTAAAGAAACTGAGGCCAGAAGAATTCACATAACTTGTTTAAGGTCACCATCCAATAATTGATGGAATTGTCCAAGTCTGTCTGATTCCAAAGCCTATACGTTTCACACTAAACTCAATGCATTTACCAGCACTGTAAATGTGAAAGAGGCCGGGGGCCAATTGTTAAAAGTACTTCTAAGTGTTTATAACATTCTTTATTTCAGACAGTCCAAGATTGCTTTATAAGGCTGATACCCCTGCTACGTAGGTAGGGTGAGTTAAGACAAGTCAGAGTCTGAGCACCACAAGGAAATTCTTACCAAGATCCCAGAGGTATCCAAGAATCCACGTGGTGCTTATTAGGAAGGTTTTGCAAATGAATCGCTTTGAGGATTGTAGTGGAGGAAGTCAGTCTGGGAGACCCTCCTGCTCCATATGGGCTGCATTTCACTCAATGGGGTCTTTGTTGCAGCACAGCTCTGGAAGGAGGTCAGGCGGTGGTCAGCAGAGGAAACCACCGCTGAGAAGGCTGGGCCCTGAGCTGTCATTCCCCTACTTTGCTTTGGACAAGGTACAAGAAATCCTTTATGGGCTGGTGCAATGAAAACTGATGGAAGCCAGCTTTGTTCTATTTTTGTAATATATTTCTGGTTGAGTTAATTCTATGGAAAAAACTAGTCAGTGGGGTTGTGTGTTTATATAGGCCCTTCGTACTCCTGCTCTGTGCCAAGTTCCACGAGTCTGCAAGGAAGTGAAGCCAGACATGCTCAGCGTCCTGGGTCCTCACCCCAATGACCTCTTAATCTTTCCAAGTTTACCCAGCTCTCTCACAGCAGCATTTGCATGGAAATTGATCTCTCAGCTCCTGGCTTTTGGCAGGAGGATACTTCCTTCATATGGAAAAGTGTTTAATACCAATTTAATGGTCTGTCTAGCCACCGTACGCCCTTAGCCCACCCTCCCCCCTCGGTGCCCACTGGCACAGAGCATGGAAATCTAACTTTTAATCACCCTTTTAAAAACACCCTGAAACTTTCTTTTCAGTGTGTCCACTGCTTTTCTAATGAGGGTTCGCACCAACTTCCTTTTCATCCTGCAAAGGGTAACTGCTACTATAAATTAAAATCATGTCCTCAGTAATCCATATTATTTTTTAGCATCTCCTATTCTCATTAAATGTAATTGCAGACAGGGAGGAGGGAGGAGGTGGCTTTTTTTTTTTTTTTTTAATACACTGGAACCAAAGCAAGTGGAAATAATTTTGTTGGTGCCTCTGATAAAATGCCTCCTATTTGAGTTTAAATAATAAAATAAATAAAGGCCAACATGAGGAAAAACAGTATCGTAGTGAACATTTTCTGAACTTGAAGAATCAAATAGACACTACATTAAACAGTTGAGCAAGTCATGGTATTATTTTGTCAGAGTCTCCTTAAAAACACAGGTATACATAGTAGAAAATGATTAAGAATGATAAGAATGGGCCAGACACGGTTGCTCATGCCTGTAATCCCAGCACTTTGGGAGCCTGAGGTGGGCGGATCACGAGGTCAAAAGATTGAGACCATCCTGGCCAACATGGTGAAATCCGTCTCTACTAAAAATAAAAAAAAAAATTAACTGGACGTGGTGGTGTGCACCTGTAGTCCCAGCTACTCGGGAGGCTGAGGCAGGAGAATTGCTTAAAACCGGGAGGTGGATCGCAGTGAGCCGAGATCGTGCCACTGCACTGTGGCCTGGCACCTGGCGACAGAGCGAAACTTTGTCTCAAAGAAAAAAAAAAAAAAAAAGAATGACAAGAATGAGGGAAGAGTCTTACCACAAATAAAATGTCAGTCATAATGTGGCTTATCCATTTTATGATTTGTCGCTGGCCAATTTTTGCTTTTGTTGAGTTGTTTTGTCTTTATTTTTCAGTATCATTATTGTTTAAACTGTTCAATTTTTAAATTCATTTAATTGTAGTCAAAATAGCTATGTTCTAGCCCGGACTGCCAAAAATCCACTAGAAAACTCTAGAAGAACCACTTACTATTTCTGGTTCTCCAAGGATTCTTTTATTCTCTAAGTCATTTGTGATTCTATTATCCCCAATATCCCCCCATTAAATTAAATGTCCTGAAAAGAACCACCTTATCCCTGATAAACTGAACTATTCATTCTTGCTTACCAGTTGAAGTCTTAGTTTTACATTTTCATGTACTGCGCAATACCATTTAAACAGCAATAAAAGAAGAGAAAAAAATTAAGAAAATTTCCCCTAAGCACTTATCATAATACCATCACCCTTTTGCACATCGGATAATTTCTTCACCATATTTTCACATATGTGCACATAAATTTTACATATAGTTTCAACAAACTTTATTTTTGCCTTTTACTTAGTATTCTCATCTAAACATTTTCTGCATTGTGGGAAAATGCATTCATTCAACATTATCTCTTATGCACACTTCTAAAACAGCCAACTTGCATGAAAAATCATAACAACCATCCTAAAGGCTACATATCCGTATAATATACCACTAAGAAACATCATTTATTGAAGCATATGCTTTATTTATTTATTATTATTTTTGAGACAGGGTTTCACTCTCTCACCGAGGCTGGAGTGCAGTGGTGCAGTCATGGCTCACTGTAGCCTCCACCTCCAGGGCTCAAGAAATCCCCTTGCCTAAGCCTCCTGAGTAGCTGGGACTACAGGCACACACCAACACGCCTGGCTAATTTTTTTATTTTTTTGTGGAGACCAGCTAGTTCCCCAGACTGGTCTCGAACTTGTGAGCTCAAGCAATCATCCTGCTGTGGCTTCCCAACGTGCTGAGATTAAAGGTGAGAGCCCTTGCGCCTGGCCAACATGTGCTTTTATTAGATGTTTAGGTTTTCAGTTTTCTGTATCATAAATCAAGCAGTAATGCAGGTCTTCTAGCACCGAGCTCTTTTCTCATATTGACAGCTTCCCACTCGCACATTTTCCTTGGGATAAATGTTGATGAGTATCATTACTCTCTCTGAGGTATCTCTAGTTATAGCAGTACTTTCATCTGGTGAGAATTCCAGCTTACCTGTTTAGTAGTCTTCGACAGAACCTCTTGTGATGATCAAATGTGATTGAATATGAAAGTGTACAATCTAATAACTAGGATGTAGTAGACCCTGACTATAAATTTTGCTTTATTACAAAATTACATTTCAAAACTCACAGAAATTTGTACTGCTACTGGCAATATGTAAGAGTATGAAATGCCACCAAAATCTCACAATTGTTTTTATGTGTTTTGAAAATTGACAAGGCATCAATGGATGCTTTGTGATTTTTTTTGTATTTTTAATTGAAATATAATTAATACACAAAAATGCAAAAACCATAAGTTTACAGCCTGATGAATTTTATAAATCAACACACCCGTGAAATGATAGAATATCATCATATTGGCAGCGTCCCAGCAGTCTCTTTGTGCCCTTTGCTATCATTATCTCATACCTAAGGATCAACAATATTCTAACTTCTAGAACTACATACTAATTTTGTCAGTTTTTGAAATTTTTATGAATGACATCATACAGTATATATTTTTCCTGGATTCAATCTGATTATGTTTATAAAAACCCTGTGGCCTATAGCATCATTTATTGAAGCAGATGCTTTATTTATTTGTTTAATTTATTTATTTGTATTTGCATTTTGACATGGTCTCACTCTATCACCCAGGCTGGAGTGAAGTGGTCCAATCATGGCTCACATGATTGATTCCAGAGTATACATATATCACATCTTATTTATCCATTAGACTATCAATAAACATTAAGTCATTTTCAGTTTTTGGCTCTTACATGTAATGCTGCTCTGAACGTTTTCATACATGTCTTTGGATTTATACAGAACATAAATTTATGATGGGTGTATTCCTACGAGGGGAACTTCTGGGTCACACAGAAAGCAATTGTTCAGCCTTCATAGCTATTGCCAAACAGTTTTCCAATGGTTGCAATTTACATTCCCACCAGATGTATGAGAATTCTAGTTGTTCCACATCATCACCAACACTAAGGAGTTTCTGCCTTTTTCATTACAGACATTCTGGTGTTGTAGCCATTCTGACAAAGGTGCTGCGGTATCTCAGAGTGATTTTCATTTTAATTTCCCTGATGTCTAATAATAAGTATTTTGTTTTGTTTTGTTTTGTTTTGAAATGAAGTTTCGCTCTTGTTACCCAGGCTGGAGTGCAATGGCGCGATCTTGGCTCACCACAACCTCCACGTCCTGGGTTCAGGCAATTCTCCTGCCTCAGCCTCCTGAACAGCTGGGATTACAGGAATGCGCCACCATGCCCAGCTAATTTTTTGTATTTTTAGTAGAGATGGGGTTTCGCCATGTTACCCAGGATGGTCTCGATCTTTTGACCTCATGATCCACCCGCCTTGGCCTCCCAAAGTGCTGGGATTACAGGCGTGAGCCACCGTGCCCAGCTAATAATAAGTATTTTTTCCTGTGCTTATTGGCCATTGCAATATCTTCCTGTGTGAAGTGTCGGTTCAAGACTTTTACCCACATTTTTCTGTCTTTTTGTATTATTTTCCTTTTCTTTTTAATTTGTGCATGTCCATCACATTCTGGATGCAGGTCCTTTTCAAATATATGTACTACAAATGTCTTGTAGCAATCAAACTTGTCCTTTTACTTTCTTGATGTTTTATAATAAACAGAACTTCTTAATTTTGATGTAGTTTAATTTATCATTATTTTTCCTTCACAGATAGCTTTTTTGTGCCCTATTCAAGATATTCAAGAAATCTTTGCCTTTCAATGCCATCTGATTAAAATAACTATTGGTCTTTTTAGAATTCATCTGGATTTAATTATTGTGAAAAAAGCAGGGTCAAGTTCCAGTGCTTTTTCACATGGATGCCTGATCAAATAGGCACTCTTTACTGAGCACCAACTAAATAGTATTGTGTCACCTTTGTCATAAAGCAAGTGATCATAGATGTATTTTATCTGTTTCTGCACTTTCTAGTCTAGTTTGCTGGTCTGTTAATTATGTTTGTCTCAACTTTACACACTTACACACTACTGCTTGTAACTGTAATGAGTAAGTCCTCATAAATAGTAGTTAATATTTTCTAATTTTGCTGCTCTTTTTAAAGATTACTTTAATGATTCACAGTCATTTGCAATTCTATATACATTTTAATAATCCATTTGTAATTTCTACACAAAATTATTCCACTTCTAACATGGTGGGCATAGAGGCAAACTGGCTTCACTCCCCCAACAGAAAACACAAAACAAATATACAGCACTAGGATTATCACCAGCAATATCCCAGAACTCAAATATGAAGATCAGGCAGTTCCCGGGGTTAAAGAGAAATGAAAAACTCTGAACAGATGGTAAGAGAATTAGACTTCAATATCTGCATTGCTGCTCCCCACAATTTGCCTACACCGAGCACATGGAAAATATACTCCATTTTCA